ATGAGTGAGAACATGTGGTTTTGGTATTCTGTTCCTGTGTTAGTTTGCTGAGAATGAAGAGTTCTTTTTATGTTTCAGAAATGTCCCAGCACTTTGACAGGCTGAGGCAGGAGGACTGCTTGAGCCCAGGAGTTCAAGAGCAGCCTGGCAAATAATGGTAAAACTCCATCTCTACCAAAATTACAAAAATTAGCCAGGTGTGGTGGTACACCCCTGTGGTCCCAGTTACTCAGGAGGCTGAGGTGGGAGGATCCCTTGAGCCTGGGAGGCAGAGGCTATTGTGAGCGCCACTACACTCTAGCCTGGGTGATACAGCCAGACCCTGTTTCAAAAAAAGAAAAAATGTTGACTCTTTAAAGTCGTGAGAAAAAGGTAGGAAAAGCCAGGGAATAACTAGAAAAATAAATAAACTCAGATTTTCAAAGCACGCCATAAATCCAAATACATTTCAGTAAGTGTTAACATTTAGGTACCTCTAAATGAAATTCAGAAAACTACTCAGGCTAATTGATTCAGGGATGGGCAGGCATTTTCTTTTAAGCACAAAATAAATGTTTATTTTCAAAGAATGAGAGATTTGACTATAGACATTTAAAATAGATTTCTACAGAAAAAGAAATCACAACATATATCTCACACCCTAATTATAATTATCACACCATAAAAATTACGTGGTCTGCAACCATCAGAGAAAAATGCTTGCAACAAATGGCAGCTAAAAGGTTGGAATGTATTCTTCAAAAACAGTATGCCCTTATCCGTAAGACATAAACACCCCCACAGAGAAATGTGCAAAGAACCGGAATATAATAAACAAAAAGATCAATAAATGTATTTTAAAATATTCAACTGCATAACAATCACAGAAATGCTAATTTTAAGGTAAGGGTGATGGTACACACCTACAGTCCCAGCTACCTAGGAGGTTGAAGAGAGAGGATCACTTGAGCTCAGAAATTTGAGTCCAGCCTGGGCAGCCAAGACAGATCCCAGCTCAGAAAAAAAAAAAATGCAGCCGGGCAGGATGGCTCACACCTGTAATCCCAGCACTTTGGGAGGCCAGAGGCAGGTGGATCACAAGGTCAAGAGATTGAGACCATCCTGGTCAACATGGTGAAACCCCATCTCTACTAAAAATACAAAAAATTAGCTGGGCGTGGTGGCGTGTGCCTGTAGTCCCAGCTACTCAGGAGGCTGAGGCAGGAGAATTGCCCGAACCCAGGAGGCGGAGGTTGCGGTGAGCCGAGATCGCACCATTGCACTCCAGCCTGGGTTACGAGAACAAAACTCCGTCTCAAAAAAAAAAAAAAATGCTAGTTTAGGATTAAATTCCATGTTTCACTAATCAGATGCCAAAAAACAACTAATATTAGAAAAGAGACAATAAAATGTACACTGCTGGCTGGCACGTAAATTGGTACATTCTTCTGAGAAGGCAATTTGGTGATATGCATCAAAAGCCTCAATGTTCAAACCCTTTGACCCAGAAATTCTATTTCTTGGGTATTTACTTTTAAAATAAATAAATAATCAGCATTTCACAGGAAGATTTATATACAAGGATGTTGCTCATCATAGCAGTATTTAATTTTTAACAACTGGAAACTAAGTGGCCATAATATGAAAGGGTTAAAGCCATAGAATGTACAATGTATCACTACGCAGCCATTACAAAATGTAAATCCTCAAATCATTTTTAATGACATGAGAAAGCTGACAGAGTAAATGAAAGAAAAAGGATATATGTCTGCAGCATAATCACAGAAGCTATATACACAAACATGTAGAAATAAGGTTAGCAGTGGTTTCTGGTGAACTTGGAGGGGATTTTAATTTTAATTTTCTTCCTTTTGCTTTTCTAAATTATTCAAACTTTCTGTAAAGAAAATGGATTTTAATAATCTAGAAAATGTAATTTTAAAAATATCTAAATATACCAAATTAATATAAGAAGATGAGACCACAGGGGTAACTCCTTTTTCTCTGTTTTTACTGAGCTATGAGAGGATAAAGTTTTTAATTTTTTTTCTTTTCTTTTCTTTTTTTTTTTAACCAAGGCTGGAGTGCAATGGCGCGATCTCGGCTCACCGCAACCTCCGCCTCCTGGACTCAGGCAATTCTCCTGCCTCAGCCTCCTGAGTAGCTGGGATTACAGGCACACGCCACCATGCCCAGCTAATTTTTTGTATTTTTAGTAAAGACGGGGTTTCACCATGTTGACCAGGATGGTCTCGATCTCTTGACCATGTGATCCACCCACCTTGGCCTCCCAAAGTGCTGGGATTACAGGCGTGAGCCACGGCGCCTGGTTTAAATTCTTTTTTAAAAAACCAAGAAGGCCGGGCACAGTGGCTCACACCTGTAATCCCAGCACCTTGGGAGGCCAGGGTGGGTGGATCACCCAAGGTCAGGACTTCGAGACCATCCTGGCCAACATGGTAAAACCCCGTCTCTACTAAAAATACAAAAATTAGCTGGACGTGGTGGTGCATCACTGTAGTCCCAGCTACTAGGGAGGCTGAGGCAGGAGAATTGCTTGAACCAGGGAGGCAGAGGTTGCAGTGAGCCAAAGCTGCGCCACTGCCCTCCAACCTGGGTAATAGAGCAAGATACCATCTCAAAAAAAAAAAAAAAATGTGGGGGGTAGCCAGGCATAGTGGCTCAAGCCTGTAACACCAGTACTTTGGAGGCCGAGGTGGGTGGATCACTTGAGGTCAGGAGTTGAAGACCAGCCTGGCCAACATGGTAAAACTCCATCTCTACTAAAAATACAAAATTTAGCTAGGTGTAGTGTCACACACCTGAAATCCCAGCTACTTGGGAGGCTGACACAGGAAAATTACTTGAACCCAGGAGGCAGAGGTTGCAGTGAGCCGAGAACGTGCCACTGCACTCCAGCCTGGGTAACAGTGAGACTGTCTCAAAGAAAAAAGAAAGAGTTGGAAGAGGTGGAGGAAAGGTAAGGAACTCAGCTAATGGCCTGACCAACTGGGGCAGGGAACAGGGCAGGGACAGACACAGTATCTTGGTCCAGGAGCGAGACCTCAGACCTTGGACCCACTCCTCAGCACCACAGGACGTAGCCAAAAAGAAGAACCACATCAAACCTCAATGGACGCTATAAGCATATTTTTTCCTGCTAATTTTAAGCAAGAAAGCAGAGGCCCAAAGAGGAAAGAAAAGTGCTCAAAGGTGCATAACTAGTTGGTAGCATTTGAACTTCCATGAAAGAGAAAGGCAAAGGGCAGGAAGCATTCCACACACCAGCACATACACATACTTGACCATGTCACCCACTATCCATAGCCACCACCTGCTGCAGATGGAACACAGGTCTCAGGGCCTGAGCTAGAAGCTCTAAAGCTGAGGGAGCTCGGCTGAGTAAGACCAACTGGGTCCAGCAGAGCTGCCCCTGTGGATAAAGCATCACCTTCCACCATGCTGCCTGTATAATGAGAGGCGGTTGCTTCTACCCAGAGGGAGGCAGACAGAGCGAGCTGCTACTTCTCAGCTAGTTTCTTGGCCCAGAAGCTGTCAAGTTCAGCAGTCAGCAGAGAGCCTGATGACCACGTTGGACTTCCACCCTGGCTGGCTCCCCAAATTGAGCAGTCAAAGTTCGCAGAGAGGAAGCTGAACGTGTAAGACACATTGCTATGACACTGCAGTTCCTCCACAATTCCGTGGGACCCTACAGAAACCAGCGTTCCTCTGCCCTTCTGCTCTGCCCCTTTAAAGTACAGGGGTATCACACAAGTCGGGGTAGAGCAGACACAGTCCTTTGCTCATCCTTGCAGGATGCCTGGGTGGGTGGCCAGAACTGCTTCATGTCCGGGGCACACACAGAATAAAAGAGAAAGTAGAAGGTGACAAATCCACATGATGCTAGAGTGGCCACAAGATGACCCAGGAAGAAAGTGCAAAAAATACACACTCATAATCACGAGAGGAATCGTAAAAACGCTATCTATAAGGACATTTGCCCATGGTTTCTAACAAAGGGAACCAGCAACTGGACAACCACTATCACACCAGGCACCTCACAGACTTTCACTCTTTCCAACTCCACAAAATTATACCTCTTGTTTTACACATGAGAACTCCACGGCTCAGAGAAAAAGAAAAGGCTCAAAGGCACAGAGCTAGGAAGTGCCAAGAGTTGCAGTACAAACTCCAAAGCCCATTTCTCTCAGGACACGGTGAGGGAACTTGTCCCCATTGCCACAGAGGGCTTCTGTCCAGCATGGATGGGACCCTGCTCCTGTGCTGTGCAGGACATGGGCCAGCCTTCCCACCACTGCCAGGTGCAGCTCCAGAAAGGACCCAGGACCTGGGGTGCTGACGGTACTCAGTCTATGCCTTTGAAGGACACAATCGTGGTCACAATAAATGGTAACAAAGTGTCCAGGCCCATTGGCTCAGGCCTATAATCTCAGCACTTTGGGAAGACCAGCTGGGTGGATCACTTGAGCCCAGGAGTTTGAGACCAGCCTGGGCAACATAGTGAGATGCCCCACTCTACAAAAATCTTAAAAATTAGCCAGGCATGTTGGCATACAACCGTGATCACAGCTACTCAGGAGGTTGAGATGGAAGGGTGGCTTGGGCTGAGGAGGTCAAGGCTGCAGTGAGCCATGATCATGCCACTGCGTGTCAGCCTGGGCCACAAAGCAAGACACCGTCTCAAACAAAAAAAAAAAAAAAAGAAAGGCACAGTAATAATGCTACTAGTCACTGAGTATCTGCTCCATAGAGGAGCTATAGGAGGAATGAGGGCTATTACCTGTTACCCACATAAGGTATCTGATGTTTCCATTTTTCAGCTGAAGACACTAAGGCTGGAGGGGGTCACAGAGTTGGGAAGTGGAACCTGAACCTGCACCTGTTCTCTTTCCCGAGCCCCACCTCAGCGCCATGACAAAGTCATGAGGCCCAAATGGACCTTTCACATCAATTCCCCACTGATTCCAGGTTGTACCCTGGCCCGGGCCTCTGGCCACTACCTTGGTTGAGGTAGGTCAGCGTCTCTTCATGCAGCTTCACGGCTGGGGACGTGGCAGCACACAACACATACTGCAGGGGTGGCAGGCGGGCCTCATTCTCAGGGGACAGCTGGGGCTCCTCCTGCTTGAAGATGGGCAGAGCGAGCACATCACTGCAACACACAGGAAGCAGAGGTCAGAAGCCGAGCCCCACGGGGCTCCTGCACGGGGCTCCTGCACCGGGCCAGGGTGAAGCTGGAGAGATGACACAGACCACCGGGGCCCAGGGTGACACAGCACGTACGTCGCGGGTACTCACTGCACTCCTGCAACCCTCGCACTCCAGATGCTTTAAAACAGAGGAAACTGCTCCTTCATGACTCTAGTTTCACTCAGTGACCCCCAAACACTGATTCAAGGAGGTAAAAGGGCAAAATTACCTAACATCTACAGAAATCCTCTTCAGGCCAGAGACAGGCTAGCAAAGAAGTGACCTTCAGAAGACATTTATTTGGTGTCTATCTACAAATGATCACTCATAAAGTTTTACTTTTAGAATATAAATCTAAATAAAAATTTTTATTTATTAATCAACAATTCTATTTACCGGCCATTTCTCATACCATTACAACCCTATCCTCCAGGTTCTGTAAACTATGCAATGAACAAACCATTTCTTTCCCTCACCCAGGTTGAGACTCCCCTCCATCCGTTCTAAAGACAAGACAATTAGACACTGTTTTGGTCACACAGATCTGTCCAAAAGGCAAACAAGAAGGAAGGACCTTGGCTTCAAGTCTGATTTTGAGTTTTGGTTTTTGGTTTTTTTTTTTTTTTGAGATGGAGTTTTGCTCTTGTTGCAAAGGCTGGAGTGCAGTGGCATGACCTCGGCTCGCTGCAACCTCCATCTCCTGGGTTCAAACAATTCTCCTGCCTTAGCTTCCCAAGTAGTTGGGATTATAGGCATGAGCCACCATGCCCCACTAATTTTTGTATTTTTAGTTGAGACGGGGTTTCACCATGTTGGTCAGGCTGGTCACAAATTCCTGACCTCAGGTTATCCACCCGCCTCTGCCTCCCAAAGTGCTGAGATTAGAGGCGTGACCTACCACGCCCGGCCCAAGTCTGTTTTCTTATCCAAGTGGGAAATCTTGAAATGCTTGCTCCAAATTTCTTTTCCTCCACCTCTTAACAAAACTATTTTAAAAAGGAAAAAATATCATTCCATATTAAAAAAAGGAAAAAATATCATTCTCACATCAGCCTACAACTTAATGAGGAAATTGTTTCGAGATGTACTATTTAGGCCAGGCACAGTGGCTCATGTCTGAAATCCCAGTACTTTGGAAGGCTGAGGTGAGAATACTGCTTGAAGCCAGGAGTTCGAGACCAGCCTGGGCAACATAGTGAGACCACCTTCCCCTGCCATCTCTTAAAAAAAAAGAAAAAGAAAAAGAAACAAAAAATCCAGCATTTTTAAAACATGCCTTCGCAAGAGACAAAGAATTCCTTGAGAACATGAATGACCTACAGGCAGGCAAGGCTTGTTAAAGGCCTCTAAATTATGAGCAGCACAGAAACAGGTGCCAAAAAAGTGCCAGTGCCCTTATCTTGATAACCGTCCTCCCTTCGTGTGTCCCTGACTAGGAATCCAACTGGCTGACCCCACTTCTCTGTATAAACAGAGTCACTGGTACAATCTGTTCCTTGCACATCATAAACCAGCGTCTCTACAACATAAACCCAGCACACACCCCAACAAGAGCTAATCAATTTTCAGAAGAGAAAAAGCCTGGCAATAAACATACACCTGGAAAACCTGCCCTGTGAGGGCCTCCCCTGTCACCATCCACTGCCAAAATATAAGGGCACAAGGCCGTCTTGGCTTCCCCCACAGGGCGTCTTCCTTTTGTGTGAGCAGGGCACACTCCCAGCCCAGGTGATGCTCTAGGAACACTGGGGACTGCACAATTTTCATGTTCGCCCAGACCATATCAAGTTAATAATCCATGGGCTGCTGCCTTTACATTTTTTAAAAAGGGGCGGGAAGGCAGAGGGAGTTAAGAACCATCACTCAACAGTAACTTGTTTCAAACTTGGCATCCTTATTTGCCAAGGAATAAAAGTCACGAGAACATCAAACAGAAAGGGGTAAGGGAGTACAGGCCTCTCCCCCGGTGAGGTCAGACAGCTTGCAGATCTGTGAAATGAGATGACCAAAAGTAAAATACAGAAAACCCAAGGAAAGGACAAGGCCCTCCCTCTAGAGTCAGGGGGTCAGGCGCATAGGGACAAACTCCCACCTTTGCCCTCACTGAGGCCAAAGGCCCCAGCTTCCAAAAAGTGGAATAAAAAAGAGCATGGACTTCTTTATCCATGGTCCCCCAATGACCCCAGAAACCAATATGGCCTTACAGCACCATCCACTCCCAACGATGGCCCTCCGCCTTTCACTAGATCCTAAAAGGTAATGTGAGGTACTCCAGACAAATTTCCATTTCGGTAGCAAATGGCAGAACTGTACCTTCCACGCAAGGGAGAATTATTCCCTAATGAAGTGATGACATTGTGGGTATCTAGGAAGTTTTAAGTACACTCACCTTCAACTCAGGGTCACCTTCAAACTCATTTTTAAGATATGGCAAGAACATACTTAATGGCTACAAACTAAAATTAAGGCAAAACTACAACTAAAACTTCAGTACAGCAAAAATGTATTCCATTGCAGCATTTCCGATAAGTGAACGGACACTTCATCTGTGGGTGATTAACATCTTCCCCTGGGCTTCCAAGAGCCCCCAGAGCAAATTCCGTTTGGTGGCATCCCCGTGGTCTGCCGGGTGGCTGTCAGCCTTGAGGGGTCTAGACTTTTGCCATTTCCTACTGCTTTGACCCATGAATAAAAACAGCGGACAAATCAGCTACACCCAATCATTCCCCCGCCTTCAGGAGCAAGGGATGTCTTCGGGGAGGACAAATACCTACCAGCAGCCAGGAATGATCAATAACATTTTTAAATCTACGTGGGAACTTCTTGGGGCCAAAACAAGCACTGAAGGTAGCTGTGGTATAGGGGCTGTCAATGCCTGTGACTCCTTCACCCTCATAATTCATCTTCCCTAAGCCCGTATCAAATGCCTTTTAGGTTAAATTAGGCACATTTCATAAACTGTGACTAGGATGGAAATAAGGGCAGGCTAAAGCTGGTTCAGGCGAGTTCACGAAGTGAAATGACTGCCCATTAGTCCTGGCCGGCAGCAGAGCAAGGAAAAACAATCCCCCGGGAGCAAGGGCACACGGGGGGTCCTACCGGCAAGAGGCGGGTGTGGGGAACCGTGCAAAACATGCAAGCCTTACTTTCCCCTCTGAAGGGCACTACTCAAATCCCTGCAGAAGAAGTAAGATTTCCATCAAGGGAAATAACCACGCGGGCCTCGGGCGAACACCCGCAAGACCATCGCGGGGAGCGGGCGGCCAGCCCCTCCGAGCACGCCGCCACCGGCCGCCGCCAGTCCGCAAGGCTGGGGCGCAGGTCCGCGCTCGCCGCCCTCCCCTGGTCCGACGAAGGGCATTCCAGAGGGCGCCAGGCAGGGAGAGGGGCCCCGGCGGACATGGGCAAAGAGCAGGGGAGGAACACGGGCACCAGGCTGCTGGCAGAAGTTTCCTGACTTCTCCGACACGCACGGGGAGGAGGACCGGGGGAGGAGGGCCGTGGGAGGCGGATGGGCCAGGCAGGTGCGCGCCCCGCGCCCTCCCTGCGGTCTCGGAGGAGCCCTCGCCGACAGCAGGCTCTGAGCGCCCGCCTCCCAGGCTGGCCCCCAACTCCGCAGGTCCCGTCCCGCCGGCGTCGTCTGTCAGTCCCTAGGCGGGACTCTGGGCGGGTCTCTCAGTCCCCAGAGGGCGACAGCTGGGAGGCCGGGGCCCAGGGGGGACGCCCCTTCTCCGCCCCCGGACATCCGACGGCGCCCGACCACGCACCCGGCCCGATCCCCCCGGAGGCGGCGCGCGGCCCTTACCGCAGGTAGCTGCTGGAGTTGTGTTGGTTGTAGTGCTCGGGCTGCGTGTGCCAGAAAAGCATGGCTGGACCTCCCACGCGCCCACTGGGGCGCGGCAGCCAGCGCAGACACCGGCCGCGCTCAGCTCCCACCTGCACCCAAAAGCCGCACTCGGAACCCGCGGGGCGGGCGGGCTCGGCGCATTTATCTGCGGCCAGGAGGCGGGACGGCGGCGGGACCCGCCCCTCAGGAAGCGCGGCCGGGAGGGCGGCTCCTCGCGGCCGCCGCACCTGGCCGACGGCGCGCGTGCCTTTACCGCGAGCGAGCGCGCCTCTGGGGCGGCCAGACCAGAGGGGCCGGGGCCGGTCGCCCTCCCCCAAGCTCCGATGTGGGGGGTCCAGGTGCCCCTTGCCGCCCTGAACCCGCCCCACGCGAACCCTCTGCCCTCTGCTCCCCACTCCGCGCCCAGGGCCAGTCTCCCGAGCGGCTCCGTGGTTAGGGAGAGGCTACTCAGAGCTCTGATGCCGGAGATTCCAGCCTAGGCCATGTCTGCCCCCTCTCCTCGCTCTTCTTTTTTCACAGCACTTTACACGCTCTGAAATCATGGCTTTTTTTTTTTTTTTTTGAGACGGAGTCTTGCTCTGTCATCCAGGCTGGAGTGCAGCGGCGCGACCTTGGCTCACTGCAGCCTCCGCTCCCAGGTCAAGCAATTCTCCTACCTCAACCTCCCGACTAGCTGGGATTACAAGCGCCCGCCCGCTGCAACGCCCGGCTCCTTTTTGTATTTTTAATAGAGGATTCACCACGTTGGCCAGGCTAGTCTCGAGCTCCTGACCTCAGGTGATCTGCCCACCTCGGCCTCCCAAACTGTTGAAACACCAAGCCCAGCCGGCATTTTTTTTTTTTTAACTTGCGTATTGATTGTCTTTCCCATTAGACTGTAAGCTCCAAGGGGACAGGGCCTACCTGGCTCCCCAACACCTCATTACCCACACTGTCTAGAACAGTGCGTGGGACATAGTTAAGATGAATACTTGTTGAGTAAACATGGAAAAAAAAAAGGAATGCATCAAGGGAGTAACCAGAGAAGGCTTCCTGCAGGAGGTGACATGGCACTGAGGCCTGATGGATGCTGAGGAAGCATCTCTGTGAACAATACCTAGGCTAAAATTAGTTCCCGGCAGGGGCAACAGTGACTACCAAGGCCTTGAGGAAGACCTACTTGGCGTGGCTGGTCCTGGGGAGAGCCTAGGAGATGAGGTGAGAAGGGTGGGGAAGATGAGAGGGCCTGGCAGTCCAGGACAAGGAGCTAGGATTTTACTCTGTTTTAAGCAGAGGAGTTACATGTCACATGTATGATTTGCCTTTTAGAAAGAACAGTCTTAGGCCGGGCACGGTGGCTCACGCCTATAATCCCAGCACTTTGGGAGGCCGAGGTGGGTGGATCACGAGGTCAAGAGATCTGACCAGCCTGGTCAACATGGTGAAACCCCGTCTCTACTAAAAATACAAAAAATTAGCTGGGCATGGTGGTGTGCGCCTGTAGTCCCAGCTACTCGGGAGGCTGAGGCAGGAGAATTGTTTGAACCCAGAAGGCGGAGGTTGCGGTGAGTCGAGATCGTGCCATTGCACTCCAGTCTGGGTAACAACAGCGAAACTCCGTCTCAAAAAAAAAAAAAATCAGTCTGGCAGCAGTGTAGACAGTGGGTCCCGGTGTGGAGGGGAGGGCCATTAGGAAGGAGTGGAGTTCCATGGAGTCCTGACCCACGTCCAGGTGCTGTCTGGTCCTCCAGTATATGGCACAGCACCTGGCACAGAGGAGATGGGGATTCTGTCCCTCTGTATTAATCCATTCAAATGACATCCCTTGAAGCCCTGTGTCCAGAACTCCCACTCCCCCAAGCATGGATGTGGGTCAAACCCTCCCTCACTCTGCTGCTCCTGCCCCCCTCCCTCCAGCACAGGTCACAACTGGCAAACCACTTCCTCTGTGCAGCCTTCAAGGACTGCCACCTCCCCGCTCTTCTACCCTGTTAGGAGAATGGAAATCTTTCCCCAGCTACAAGCAGTGCTGTCACCAGATAGTGTGCCAACCATTGGCTTCTCCAGGAACTGCCGATGCTCAGAGAGCAGCCTCGCCCTCTGTCATGTCCCTCTTGGGACAGCCCACTTCCCGTGACTATCCCAGCAGGAGTATAAAAGCCTGGCCCTCTCTGCCCGATTGAGGACAGCGCTGATGCGGTATTTTAGCCCCAGAACTCCTCATAAGGATAGCTGAAGCTGTCACAGGACCTATGTCCTGCTCAGGGTCTCCCTCCAGCTTCCTTCCACTTCCTTGCCCAGGGGTCAGTCTTAAGGCAACTTCCAAAGAAACATCCTTAACACCAACCCCCACAACCCCACGCCATCAGGGGCCACGACAAACCCACTGTTTAAATCGGAGGCACTCTGGGGTGGTCTGGAAAGAAGCTGTCCTCCGCCGGCCTCATCCTTGAGTTCTAACTGGAAAGGCCTGTGGGTAAGCAGCAGACAGTGCAGTGTGGTCAGGGATGTAAAGGCTGCCCTGTGAACACAGGGGGACTTTGGAGATCCGAAGAGGCTCCAGGTGAAGTGATGTCTCCTGACCAATGGGTGAGTGGAAGTGAAACCAACCTGTGGAGATAGCTGGAGAGTAGAGGCTCCTGCAAAGGCCTGGAGGAATGGAAGTCAATATTATAATGGCTGCATCTGAATGTGTGACCTTGGGTGGAGGAAATGGACCTCATGCTGCTTCTCCCAGCAAGAAATGGTGTCTCCTCCCTTCCCTTCCCCCTTCTGTATAGGCTGGCCCTGTGACTTGCTTTAACCATAGAATGGAGAGGAAGTAATGCTGTTCCCTTCTGAGCTGGCCCCTAGGCAGCTTCTCTCTTTTTTTTTTTTGAAGTTTCACTCTTGTTGCCCAGGCTGCAGTGGAATGGCTCACTCCACTGCAGCCTCCGCCTCCTGGATTCAAGCAATTCTCCTGCCTCAGCCTCCTGAGTAGCTGGGACTACAGGCATGCACCACCACACCCGACTAATTTTCATATTTTTAGTACAGGCGGATTTCATTATATTGGTCAGGCTGGTCTTAAACTCCTGACCTTGTGATCTGCTTGCCCCAGCCTCCCAAAGTGCTGAGATTACAGGCATGAGCCACCTCACCTGGCCAATTTTTCATATTTTAAGTAGAGACGAGGCTTTACCATGTTAGCCAGGCTGGTCTCGAACCCCAGACCTTCAGGTGATCCACCCACCTTGGTCTCCCAAAGTGCTGGCATTACAGGCATGATAAGCAGCTTCTCTTAACTCTCCCAGAGCTCTGAGCCACCAGGTAGAATCCACATGCCCTATTGGAGAGGGAGACCTGGCCAGCCTCCAATCCTCCAGCCACCCAGCAGAGCCCATCTAAGATACCCCAGTGGATTGCCTCCAACCACACCTCATAGAACTGAAGCAAGCCCTGCCCAAAATGCAGCCTCGTGAGCAAATGGATGGATGTGAACTTACACCACGAAGCTGTGGGCTGGTTTGTTTCATACAAATGGAAAAATGATACACTGGATCTGTTTTGCTATTGGGAATAATAAGGCTTCATTTCATGGTTGCGGTGAAGCTTAGGTTCAGGTGAGTTTAGCATCTCAGGAATGATGGCTCTCATGACCTAAGTATGACTCTATCTGTGTATTTTGGGTGCCTGCCTACCTTCTCTCCCTTTGTAGGTTTTTAACAACGTGAGAATAGAATTCTACAGAGACAGCATTTGAGTCACACTGTGTGAACAAAAATGCATCTTTCTGCCCATGGCTCTCTGGTGTTAAAGGCTCTCTGGACCCCCGGGGCGAACAGTCTGGTGAGGAGGAGAAGACAAATGAGCAGAAGACGGCCTGCCAGTCCCCTTTTTATTTTGTGAATGTTCACAGTTCCCGTGGTGGGAACATTGACTTTTACCATGCGCCAGACCCGGAGCCATGCACTGCCGCTCCCTGACACTAAGAAGTAGAAACATCACTTTACGATTGAAGAAGCGGGCTTGGGAGGCTCACTGCCGTAGCTGGGATTTGAGGCCAGGTCTGCAAATTCATCAGCCGTACTCTGGCTCTCATCCATTCTTGTCTTAAGGCCCTGCATTCCTTTCTTCACCCCACACTGGGCAAAGGTGCTGTGACCAGGTGTCCTCTGCTCCCAGGATCAGCCCCGGATCCCTGCAGAGGCAGCAGTAAGGGCCCCACTGAGCACTCAGGAGTTACCTCCTTAGCAGCGCCACAGGGATTCCCAGCTGCTTTCGGAAGACGTCACGATGAAGACTGGAGCTTTACGTCTGAGAAGCATGAATAGGAGGTGAAGGATGGCCAAGGTAGAGGGCAGGATTTAGCCAGAGGGAAAGTGTATGCAAACATGTTTATCACAGTGTTGGATGCTCTTGAGATCAACAGCTTCCAGAGAAGGAAGCAGAGAGCAGAAGACAGAGTTTAGCTATGAGGCCTCAGTGGATCCTATGTGAGGTATGGGGCCAGGCTGTCGCCAGGCTGGAGTGCAATGGCATGATCTCGTCTCACTGCAACCTCTGCCTCCCAGGTTCAAGCGATTCTCTTGCCTCAGCCTCCCAGTTGAATAGCTGGGACTGCAGATGCGCACCACCATGCCCAGCTAATTTTTGTATTTTTAGTAGAGAAGGGTTTTCACCATGTTGGCCAGGATGGTCTCGATCTCTTGACCTCGTGATCCAGCCGCCTCGGCCTCACAAAGTGCTGGGATTACAGACGTGAGCCACCACGCCCTGCTGGGTTCAGGCCTTTATACATCACCTTGACCAGTCATGGACAGATGTGGTTGCCCTGGGGAAGGGACATGGCTTTGGGCAAAGCGGCTCAGCTGAATCCTGGAGAGGGACCTATCAGTGTTATCACCTGCCAAGGCTCCCTGCAGCAGGGGCCTGAGTGCCGTGGCTGGAGGGGAAACACCTTGGCTGGACATGATGGCATCCACCACGCTCTCCAAGCTCAGAATCTTTGTGGAATAAAGATGATGCCTCCCTCATGGAGCCAGTGGGAGCATTGAGAGAGACAGGATAGGGTGTGCAAGGCAGGCTCGCCTGGCTTCTCTAAGGAACTTCACTTTTCAGTTTTGGGTCAGCGATCTCACTTTAATTTCTTCTTGATTGTCCAACAGCATG